AAAGATACATCGATTTCAGGACTGCAATTAGCCTGTGTGCCACTCGATTGTGGCGTCATTGACGCGTTTCCGGGGTCATGCCCCCTTCTTCATTTGTTCGACCCACCTTTGTGAATACTATTGCATTTTTAATTCTGTGTCTCCTCTAAATAAAAAAATCATCTGCACTAGGGTGGGCGCCCTTCTATTTCTTTTGTTCTACAGTTCTACAGTTCCCCTGGCTGAAGTGGGGCAGCACCCCTAGCAATCCTGTACTCATAACACTCAGCATCAAGATCTGTCCACAGCGCTTTGATTCTAATGTATTTGCTTGTAAATATTTTTATGTTCATAGTCTGTACATAGATACACTTTCAGTCTCAGCTCCATTTACACTTGCGGCATGCAACATTGGGCACCATGCTTGTGTGTGTTTGTGCATGTTGTCACTTGTGGCGTATTGGGCAGCCCATTGAAATGCATGTACTGCCCTGTGTGCAATACACAATATGCGCCACAAATGCGGAAAAGAAGCTCATGCACCTTTATGACCTTTGAGCACTGTACAGTTTTTAACCACATGATTTTCATGAATTTGGTGCAAGGCTTCCAACTACATACACACCCCCGGAAATGAATCACAAATTCCTTAATGAATCGCCCCCTAAATCTTTTCTCTTGCTTTTCACACTGAAATGTTTATGTCAAGAGCTACCATCATCATGTTCTTGTTGTCAAAAATACATTTACTATGTTTACAGAATAGCACTGCTCTTTGTGTTATTACTATTATATATTAATAATGAATGTCTTGATATAATATTCTAATGTATTATTACCACTATTAATAAATGGCAAAAAGTGTTACTGGTATTATATTAATATTCAACTCAAATAGTATATTATTATCGCTATGGCTATGTTGCAGAATATGAGTGTAATTTGCACTATTATATTATAGGTCTTGGGATGAGCAGAGCCGACGGTTAGGGTGATACTTCGAGACCAGGTTTGAGATATAGCCGGGGGTGGAGTTGTGAATGGCTTTGTAACTGATTGTTAATATTTTTAATTTTATCCTTTGGCCGAGCGGAAGCCAGTGCAGGCATTGGCAGAGGGGGGTTGCAGACACTGAGCAGTTGGTTAGGTGAATGAGTCTAGCAGCTGCATTCATGATAGACTGAAGGCGGGATATCCTGTGTAGAGGTAAGCCAATGAGGAGGGAGTTACAATAGTCAAGACGAGATATAACAAGGGAGTGGATGAGTAATTTTGCTTTTTCTTTTGGTGAGGAAGGGGCGTATTTTGGAGATGTTACGAAGGTGAAAGCGGCAGGATTTAGATAGTGATTGGATGTGGGGAAGAAAGGTGAGGTCCGAGTCAAGGATGACACCTAGGACCTTGGCATGGGAGGAGGGGTGAATAGTTGTGTTAACAATCTCAAGCGAAAAGTTGGGGGAAGGTGCACGAGGTGGAGGAAATATCAAGAGCTCACTTTTTGAAAGGTTGAGTTCGGATATGTCGGATAGTAGATTAGTGACACGAGAGGACACAGAGGGGGTGAGTTGTGGAGTAGAAAGATAGATTTGAGTGTCATCGGCATAGAGATGGTATTTTAAGCCATGTGAGGTTATTAACTGACCAAGGGAGGAGGTGTAGATAGTGAAGAGAAGGGGTCCAAGGACAGAGCCTTGGGGGACCCCTACAGAAAGAGGAAGAGGAGGGGAGGAGTTAGATTTGTAGGTGACGCTAAAGGAGCGCTTAGATAGGTAGGAGGAGAACCATGAGAGAGTAGAGACTTGTAGCCCAAGTGACTGGAGTTTTTTGAGGAGGAGCAGGTGGTCAACAGTGTCAAAAGCAGCAGAAAGATCTAATAGCAAGAGTATGGAATAGTGGCCTTTGCTTTTAGCAGTGAGTAGGTCATTAGTGAGTTTTAGGAGGGC